TTTTAACAAAAAACGAAGTCCAGATGACATGATTCAACCTTTTTTTGTTGTTATATACCTGGATGACTGAGAAAACTAACTTTGAAGTTAGTGAAGCATTTTTACTTTTAGGACATTCATATTCAAACACAAACAGTAAACTGAGGCAATACATAAATATTTGTGATGCTGATTTTACTGTGATTGTGGTTTCTTATCTACATATTCAGCAGCCAAATATTAAAATCAGTGTCTGTTTGATTTCAGGGTTCCCTCCATTCCTTCCTGTGTAAACACACCAGCAGCTGGATGTCATCAATGAAGCTGTGCCAGTCCTTATCAGAGGGACTTTCCTATCTCCACTCTGACCTCCTCAGCCACGGTACTGACCTGAATTCCCTGCCACAGAAATCTGTTTCTTGTAGCAATTTCACACAGAAAGCAGGCTGTGTATGAGCTCATCATCACACAAGATTTAACACAACTGTTGAGAGCATGCATATACAGATCCCATGCCACTTTTTATTTTACTATAATATATGAATGGTTTATAATTCCAAACACTCAGAAATGCCAGTGCAAATGAGCAATGTTGTGCCAGAGTGTGTTTTTCTTTTGCAGGTGTGCACAAGCCTCCCGTGGCCCACGGAGACCTCAGCAGCTTTAATATTCTGGTGAAAGCAGATGGTAGCTGTGCTCTTTGTGATTTTGGATCCTCCACCATTCTGCGTTTTTGTTCGGGCTATCACTTCTGGCAGCAGCACATGACAAACATGAAGGTGAGACAATGTGGAAGTAAAAGCGCAAAGCATGCCAGCAACGTCTTGAGACGAAATGTCACATTTCTGCAGGGTCAAGCTCAGTTCGGCACGCTCCACTACATGTCCCCCGAGGTCCTGGAAGGCTCTGTAAACCTGAGCAGCAGCTCGTTCCTCATGCAGGGTGACGTCTACGCTTTGGGACTAATTCTGTGGGAGATATGGATGCGTTGCTCTGATTTATTTGAGGGTTAGTCACCATTTCTGTATTTATTATGGTCAAAGGAAATGCCACGAAAAGCTATGTCAGTGGTTTGTTGCATTATTTTAAACCAAATACATCCATTTTAGATTTATTTCTGTGGTAAGCTGAAAATTATTGATAATTTGACTTTTTTTTGTTGTTGTTTTTGGAAGACTTACAAGAACAGCAACTGGAACTATGTAGAGCTTATAATTAATGTAACTAAAAAGTAGTATTTCTTTATGAAATGCACGTTGCTTGCTGCCTTGGATGGGAAAGATTTGAACAGATATCTCAAGGGATCTGTAAAGCGATCAGAATATATAATCAGAGTCAATCTCAGCTACTAACATGCTAAATTTTAGCTCATTATTTGTCAATTTGACAGCGTTATAGACTTTTTCGTTTTGTTTGCCACATTGAGTTACCTGTGGTGGCCATCATGAATTAGGCCAATCCAAGTTTCATTACAATAAAACCAGTGATTTTTTTTAGATATTTTGCAAAAAGACAGACACATATGCACAAAGACTAAGGCATTTACATGATCACCCAACTTTCATGGCATCAGTTGCTGAAAAAAAGAGATAGAGTGTGTATTTTATTATTTAAAAAAAATTAAACAGCTATATATATAGCCTTTAATAAAGGGGATTATGGTGTATGCATATTTGGAGTTTGTATCTGATTGTTTTCTGATGTGCTGAGTTGTGATTTAAATTCTCTAAGCCTCATCTCAAATGCTGCAAACCACATCTGAAGACCAAAATAAAGTTGAGAATTTGTGCAAATGCTTCCATCTGCAGGCGGAGTTGTTCCTCAGCGTCTGCTGCCGTATGAGCTGGAGCTGGAAGCCAGTGTAACTCTGGAAAGACTCCTTCTGTACGTGTCTGAGATGGACAAGAGGCCCTCCATACCTGATTACTGGGGGGTGCTACCACAGGTATTTATTAGGGGCTTTGCTTTTGTGCACACACTGTTGTGTAAGTTGGGCGGCAGTAAACTTTAATAAGTGTTAAAACTTTCTCAGGGCTTTGCGCTGAAGGAGCTCCTGACAGACTGCTGGGACGGCGACGTGGAAGCCCGACTCACAGCTCCATGTGTCCTGGACCGATTAGTCTCTCTTGCATCTTCCTACCCACATTGACACCTTAGCGTTAATTCAACGGACATGTACTGTAAACATGTGTGCTTTACTCTTCATTTGTCATTGCTTTTAGTTGTTACTTTTAATCAGGCTGATTGCTACAATCTCAGTGATTAACAATAAATGTTTTGGTATATACAATAAAAAACTTTATTTAAACAATGTTTTGTGACTCTTTCTGATATAGCTCGAAAAGGTTGCGCTACAGGAACTTTGTGATAAATGCAAGAGGCACACAGAGGAGGCCAGATGAGCCGCTGCTGCAGGATGTGGTTTGCTGCAGCCAGCAGGGTGGTGAGCAGCTCTACGTGGACAGCCAGCACCCCTGCAGGTCAGCAGCCACGAAATGAAGGCAATCAGGCAAAAATGAGCTGCCACAGCAGCATTAGTGGAAGAAGCAGCACCAAACAGTTAAAACGCCATTACTTTGTATGGAATACACATTTGGAATAGTACTTTATTTAAACTAGCCAAAGGGGTCAGAATCTGTGTTAGAGGACATGAGCCATGATATTGTTCTACCTAAAGCTTCTCTTAAAATTTTTAAATACAGTATTATGTGAAATAAACTTGTGCTCCTCAAGCTTTACATGAGAAAACCAAATAATGATGCTCGTGCAGTTTGATATAAGTGAATAAATAAAATAAATAATAAAATGCAGGTGAGTTGGATTTAAAATGTGAATCTATGATATGAAACTGACTTGAAGCTCAACTAAACACAAAACAACAGGAAGAAAAGAAAGCTTTCAAGATAAAACTGCTATTAAACAACTGGAAATCTTACATGGGAATAAAAATAAATGGATTGCTTAAACAAGAATACTGTAACCACAAATTTACTAAACTGAATATCTCGGGGGGGGGGGGGGGGGTTATTGAGAAGGAGAACAATGTGAATGTTCTCTGTGCTGTGTCGTGTGTCTGTCCTGTTTTCACCAACAGCCTGTGCAACACGTTTCACTGAAGCTGCAATTATTGTTTCTTGTCAACCACAGGCTTCGATTTTGAGCTATAGCTATAGTTAAAGTAAGTAATCAAACATAAGACAAACAAATAAATAAAGTAAAAAGGAAAACCCTCTAACAAGAAGAAAAGCTAATGTTGCACTAATCTGGTTCCATAAAATCTTTATACCATATTTTCCAGACTATAAGTCACATCAGTCAAAATAAAAAAACATCATGAAGAGGAAAATAACATATATTAGTGAATGTTTGGCAGAGACACGAGGGCTTAGCATACAGGAACAACATATATGTGTGGTACACCTAAAAATATGTCACCACATTATTTTGGTTGTTTTGTAATCTTGAAATATTTCTCAAATAGAATAAATTATATATGAGAAATATTTCAAGATTACAAAACAACCAAAATAATGTGGGGTAGGTGTCAAAAGTCTAGAGGGTTCTCCCGCACCTCTAGCGGCTGCGATTATGTTTACAATGGTTCATGTCAGCATGAATGAACATTTAAAGTGTCTGTCAAAAATTGGGTTATGAATATGGAAAAAAAATGTTTATAAGTCGCTTTGGACCATAAGTCGCAGGACTGGCCAAACTATGAAAAATAAAGTGACTTGTAGTCCAAAAATACGGTAATTCACCTGAACAGTACTGCCACATCAGACTGCTTCATGGTTTTAGTACTCGTTTGGTTGTTGTTGTTTTTTTTAGCATAAACTGAGTGGTGACTATGTGGTGAATTCTGTTACAGCAAAACAATAAAATATTGTTTCTAAATGTAATTTTAAAATGCTCAATTTATATCCGTCAGTTTCATTGTCACAATTGTGTGAGTCAGTCCCAGGAAACGCAGATGGACTTGAGGAGCAAGTAAAATGAAATTAAAGTTAATTTTAACAATAACTGTCAGGGCAGCAAAAACTTACAGGGAAAAATAAAAAACAAAACAAAATGGAGATACAAGGAGAGACCCAGACGTGGTGTGTGAACACAAAATGCTCCGATGAGGAGCGAACGAGGGCAGAAAGGATATAAGGTCTGGGACTGATGGGAGAAGTGGCTGCAGCTGTGACAGAAAAAACAGGGAGCAGGTGTAGATGGGCGTGGCAGGAACTAAATGTGGAAATTTACCATGGCAGAAACGGCAAAGAACAAACTAAACACAACGTAAATGTAGAAACGAAACACCGTAAGAAATTAAAATAAAACTCTAAACGGAAAAATAAACACTGACCATCACAGGGTTGTGACTGACGCACCTCAGATTTATGAGCTAACTGTCCAAACTTTAAACTCCTTATGGATAATATTAATTGATTATCATTAAATGAGTGATAAATAAAAAATAAAACCATAAACCATAAATTCATTCCCTCATTCAACCTTTATTTAAACACGTTAAAAAACCCTTTCCTTTGTGCATTTTGTTTTCTGTGTGGGCATGGCTGCATACATGTTTGTACATGAAGTTTTTGGGTCTGGTGTATCATTCGGTACACGGACCTTTTTGTAATATTTTTTCTTTAAGTTCCTTTTTTCTTTTGATGTACATAAATCACCTTAATCTAATTATGACAGTCTTTTGGGCTATTTTAGTGTTTAAAGTCTCCCTTATAAACTGGTGTTTTCTGCCTGGTAAAGCATCTATAAATATGTCTGACTGATGTGGTGGACTACACAGGACATTCCGTGCATGCTTCCTTCTCCTCTGTTACTCAGAATATGTTCCGTCGGAAACCCCAAATGATCCCGGGTGACGGTGACGCGCCTGGATGCTGCTGTGTTTGCTCCACCTCCCTCCCCTCACCCTGCTCCGGACCGTGTAGTTCTCATCCCTCCTGTTGCTGCTCTCAGAACTGTGAGAGGATTCGGTTCTGCTGCCGGGGGCATGAATCAAGTGGGTCTCGTCCTGTTCACTCCCAGCTCGGCCTCGCTTTGACGTCCTCTCTTTATGGGCAGCTTGGAGCGCCGCTTCTTTTCCACGCAGCTCGAAGTCACTCGGGGATCCGGCTGCTCCTGACAAGGAGGTGGCGCGCAGTGTGCGGAGGATGGGCAGACGCGAGGCGCACGGTGGAGGCGCAATGAGCACCAAGTGCCGCTCCGAGCTCGGATGTCTGCAGGACGCGGCGTCCAGCAGCCAGCAGGGTGAGGCGGACAGATGCCCCCCCTGCAGCGCAGACAGGCGGCAGCCAGGCGCGGACACAGAGGCGCCTGCGGAAGTGAAGAAGCACCAGCACAAGCACAACCTGAAGCACCGCTATGAGGTGATGGAGACCTTGGGCAGAGGCACCTATGGGAAAGTTAAAAAGGCGGTGGAGAAAGCCAGCATGAGAACAGTGAGTCATGCGCACGAAGTTCAACTTAATTATGAAATATTAGATAAATACAGATATTGTAGGGCGGGGTAGTTTGACATTTAGATTGAGATGTAAAAAAAAAACAACCCTGATCTCTATATGCTTTTAGAGTCAGCTGTCTCCTTGTGTGAGTGTTGGTTATTAATAATTCAATTAAATGACGTGCGCGCGCGTGTGTGGGTAGGATGCTGATTTCAGTTGTCGCTTCTTGTTCTGTCTAACTGAGATGCCTCTAGCCTGACTCACTCAGGGATGCAATCCTTCAACATCTGATCATCTGACTGAGTCAGTAGCCTGGAGATATTTGCACTCCTATATTTTTAACCTCAAACTATTTCGTTTTAGATATGTTCAAAGCCAACCTGATGTGGGATCTGAGCAAAAGAGACGAAAAGGTCATCAGCTTTGAATCCAACTTGTGTTCTTTTTGTAGATTAACATCCTTAAAATCAGACTGCAGCGGTAAATGCTTCTAAAGTCTTTTTCATCCTCTGCTTGTTGCTTCATTTTGAATAAGATCTACATTTGTGAAGAAGGAATTTAAAAGATTCAAAGAAGGAAACACTAAACTTTGAGAGCAGCTTTGTGATGTGTTTGTGCAGGGTGAAGGGGTTTGGTATGCCCATGGGGCCGGGGGTGACTGAATTCCTCGAGCCATTAGCCTGTGCATACCAAGGATTCTTTAAAACAAAACGGACATTATTTTTGGAAACAAGGCTCCGGCCCGTTGTCTGAGTTTGGTGAAGAGGTGGTGGACATTGTTTCAAGAGCAAATGGGAAAAGGAGGTGCTTCGAAAGAGCAAAATAGGCCAAACTGCACCAGAAATCCCACATCAGCTGTTAGTTGTTGTTCTGTGTCCACAAGGGTTGAACAAAAGGATGAAATGGAAGGACTTGTCTCCAAAACTGGGTCATGCAGCAAATGCTTAATGTGAAGTACATTCTGCTGTTTTTTTATGCTGCTCTTATGATGCTGGTTGAACCCAGACGCAAGCCGACACAAGGAGATGAGGAGAGATCACAGAGACATCAGGCTTGTAGCCAGGACAAAGAACCGCAGCTTGGGTGGTGATGAGACAGTTTGTGTGAGTGGGAAGTGGCAGCACCTGTGGGGGACAGGTGGGTGGCATGCTGACTGAAGAACAACTGAGGAAGCTGACGGAAGGTGAAAATGAGATCTGACGAGAAAACCCAGGAGCTGAACCAAAACACAAAAATACTGAGACAGAAAAAATAAAACGCAAACCACCAAGAGAAAATAAGGCCAAGGAACTAAATAAATAACAAAGAAAAACAAACAGATTATGACAGCTCGATGTTAAACTAGCTTTTTTTTTCTACCTGAATCCAATTAGCCTCCTTTTATTTTAAAGCAGCCATTTCTGAAGGTGTGCATTGTAACCAATCAAAAAAAAAGAGCTGAATCTGCTCTAAAATAACTAAACCTGGCAGTTACTCTAATAGTTGTTTTTTATTGCATGAGAAGTGCCTCACAACATGTGTATTTCCAGATGTTGGCTGTTATTTCCATCAAAACAGTTGTTCTTGGTTTCTCAGTTAGATTGAGTGAGCTGGCTGTTCTTGATGAACCTAAGAAAATATCTAATACCTTGTTTCAGGAAATGCATAGTGGAACAAGAAACAGCAGTGAATATTTTGCTTCCCTAAATCTGAAGGACTGTCTGTTGCGATCATAAGGATGTATCCAAAACTCCACAGTTGACCTGAATTATTGCCAAGACTGATTTCCAAAACAAAATCAGGTTACTGCTTCAGTGCCGCATGGTCCAGTTCTCCATCAGCAAGACATGGCACAGCTCTGAAGTTCCTGGCTATGAAAGGAACAACTTCAGGATCTGTTTGGCATGGACCCAGAGTAATCTTACTTCTAAATCTTCTCCAGATGCCATAATTACGCCTGGGATGCATATTTGTGAATTTGTAGGTAAACGTGTTTCTAAAAATGAAAGGGCAGGATATTATCACCCCCATTATGGCATCTGAGACACGTATGTGTGATGGCTCACACGTGTAAAGTTTTGTGGCCACAGGGAATCGTGGTGTTTCCTCACAATCAAGGCCCTGAAGCTCATTCAGTAAAAATGAAGGGGAGGGAGAAAAGCAGGGAAGCCTTGGTGTTGTACTTTGGCTGTACCTCTTTGTACATATTGTACATGTTGGCTGTACTTTCACAACATGGCCTGTGGGCTCCTCTAACTCACTTGTTGTTGAGTAAAAGAACAACATCTGCGTGAGAACAGCAGCTGCTAATGTCTCCTACATTTATCAAGCAACAGTTTTTGAGTCATTATTTCACAACATTGTGTGTAACCATGTAAACTTCTGATATTTGTACACAATTCTTTCATTCATTCAACCTTTATTTATACAGGTTAGTCTCAATGAGTCATGAGGACTCATTTACAAGAGAGACCTGTTTTAAACAAAGAGCACAGATGAGGTACAGACAACATTAAACATTCATATGAAAGCATACTAAACGAAAAGTATATAAAATAAGTGATGTAAAACAAAATAAAAAACATGCTACATTATAAAACGGTGTAAGATGCTAAAAACAGGGACATGTCTGCATTGATTTTTGCAGTGAACTTAACAGTAGATTAATATCCCTTAGAGAGGTCAAGGTCGAGAGCTTCAGATCTTTTTGCAAGATGTTCCAGGTTACAGGAGCCGAGTAAGAGAAGGCCCTTTTACCAAGTTTGGTCCGCACTGATGGGTCACTGAAGATAATGGCTTGGGCGTGCACGCTGTAGCTGCACTGACAACGTGACGTGTAGGAGGAGATGTATGAAGGCAGCAGAGTAAGGTGTAATTTAAAGATGAAAATGTACCAGTGAGAGAGTCTACATGAAGTTTATGATGACCAGTTCACCAGTGAATACAGGGTGCAGTGGTGGGTATGGCAGTTACAGACCGTTGTGAATCTTAATGCACCATGATAGACAGCGTCCAACATCTGCGGGGTGCTTACAGGAGAATTCCTGTAAATCATGTCACCATGGTCAATGAATGGAAGAAAAGTAGCAGCTACAAGGTGTTTCCTAGTGTTCAGAGTTAGACAAGATCTATTTCTAAAACAGAAACCCAGTTTAACTTTCAGTTTCTTTACCAAGTTTTCAACATGAGAGATGCAAATTGACCAAAATACCCAAGTATTTGTAAGAATCAACAAGCTCAATAGAAACAGCATTCCTAGTTAAGATAGAAGGAGATAGAGTGAGATCCTGAAAGGAAACATATTCTCAGACTTCTGCCACCCTAGTGACACTTTCTAATGCTCTTAAAAGTGAGCCATGTCATTTTATAATTTTTTTCATTCATAATGAAAGGGTCAAATTGTTGGTTGTAAACAGAGGACATTTTTCCCTGACCCCTCATACTTTGGCTTACATTATCATTTGATTGTTCAATGACTAGGCTGATCTTTGCTATAAAGAAATGCACAATGGGCACACGGTGGCGCAGTTGGTAGAGCTGCTGCCTCTCAGCTAGCAGGTTGCCCCGGTTCAAATCCTGGTCCAGGGACCTTTCTGGGTAGAGTTTGCATGCTCTTCCTGTGCATGCGTGGGTTTTCTCTGGGTACTCTGGTTTCCTCCCACAAGGTAAAGATAATGGATGAATGCATTTGACCTGATTAAAAGGAAGTCAAATCAATGGTTTGTATTATGTTGCATATGACTTTACGTCCTGTTTTTAGTGTGCTTCCTGTGCTGGGGTGCTCTATGTGTGTCAGAGAAGCTTTTTTGACCTAACACTACATACTCTAAAAGAAATCAGCCAAACTGTTATGCCAACTTTAACAAAATAGTAGGGGAGAAAGCGGAAGTAAATCCCATTGAGCCTCGAGGACTCATTTACAAGAGAGACCTGAGTTCAACAAAGAATGATGACAACAATGGACAACAGTGACAACAATAAACAGTTATAAAAAGTCATACAATTTTTTATTTTTTTTTACAAATAGGAAGGCTAAAAAAGAGAAAAGTAACAAAAAACAGCTAGATTCTAAGGCGAATGTAGAAAACTAAAAACAGGAACATGTCTGCATTGGTCCCTGCCAGGAGTCCAACAGATTCTTAAAGCCACTTAGAGAGGTCAAGGTCGAGAGCTTCAAATCTTTTTGTAAGATATTCCAGGAAACAGGAGCGGAGGATTTGCAGAGAATTACATTTAATTTGTTGAATGACCAACAAATGTTACTTTTAGAGAAAAATGTGGATAACTTTATGTTGAACTGTACTCATAACAAGCTTTCAATCAACCATAGAACATGTAAGAATGGGTCCAGACCTGCATCGGACCCCAGGGCTAAATCATTAAATCACAGGCCCCACTTTGTACCATCAACCTGCTGTGGACTGCAGTTGGAAATTAGCCTGTATGGCTAAATCTAACACATATAGATAATGTGCCAGTTGTATACATGTTGCTTTATATGTATTGTTCCTAACTTAAAAGGATAATCACTTTTTTCACTTTGGTAATCTTGAAGATTGTATGACTATGAAACTGTTACATTTATGGTAAAAACAAACAAACTGATTTCATTAACTGACTATCAACCATCTACGGTATCTGATTGCTAAAGTTTGCATACCTCATTGGTTGCCTCTAACCCTGTCCTTTAGTCTGTTTTTTTTTTTTTTTTCTGGATTTTTGCATTAATTAAAAAAATACATAAATACTTTACCTGGCTAATTTTGATGAAACTTACTGGAATATGAACAAAAAAAAACCTACTTAAATTTTGGTGGTCTTGGCAGTGAATAGCTATTGTTGAGTTCCTTTTTAGCATCCTATCCCTCCTTGTACTTAGTCACACTGCTCAGCTATTTAAGGCAGAGTGTCTTTGGCCTACCAAATCTGGACAAGCATCATTCAGATGATAACTACCAAGTAATAAGTATACAGCATTTGTTGCAAACTCATACTCAGCCTTTCATCTCTGGCCTAAAGGAGAAGCCACATTGGCCTGGAGTGCCTGAGTTTGTGGGAAAATATCTTCAATTACCTCAAGACTGGTTATAAATAAAGACACAAACCTAAAAAAGCAACAACTTTCCTTCATTACACTGGATCTTCATCAATTGTAGGTCAGGCCAGTCCCAGGAATTTGGCGAGTGTTTGTGTTGCATAACCACTGTTGTTGATGGAGCGTGTGAATCGTGTCTTTCAGTGTCTCGTGGATGTTTTTCCCGTCCGCTGAGAATGCTGCAGTTTGTGACCTTGTCAAGAGGCCAGTTCAGCCCTGTGGGTGCTGAGCAGATCATCCATGTTTAAATGTCAGCTTCACTCATATAGAGTACATGTCCTGAACTGACTTGTTGTTCCACATGTTTTAGTCCCCTGCTGCTCATCATGTATTTTAGTCCAGAGTATTTTAAATCAAAGGTGCCTGTTTGTCTGTCTCCTTCTTGTATTAATATGGTGCTATTTCTGTGACAGGGAGACTTAGGGGATCACTTTGAGATGTGTGTTTTGGTGCTTGTGCATGTTTGTATGTTGGGGTCAGGGGTTACATTGGGGTACAGTTAGATCCTGGGATTAAAGAATCAGAGTGTTTACAGTGCAGCTGTCAATCTTCTGCTTCAGTGCTAAATTCATTGGACATCCCACATACCGGTAATCACCTTTAATACACATATTTTATTTGTGCATTTACAGAACGTGTGTGTTGATATGTCTTTGTTCAACTGAAGATTTTGCATGTGATAAAAGAAAATTATATAAGCTGTATGAGGTCAGTTTGAGAGACCATCAAAGTTAACTGAGGACAATTAAAAAAAAAGTGGATAAAAAAAATCAATTTTTAGCTATTTGCATGTAAATAGGCAAAAGCTATTTACCAAGTAACATCTAATAACAGCTCTCCTTTTGATGACCTAAACTTGAAAAAAAAACAAAAAAACAATCTGTACAAAAATTGGGCGTTTTTATTACTTATAGTTCTTTTAAAATGGTTAACCATCCTCACTTAATTAACAGATCGATCAATGTGTGAGTTGAGCAAAAGTCTTTTGTAGAAAGGCTTTTCATTTGGTTGCATGTTTCCATTCTAAGGTGGCGATCAAGTCAATTCGCAAGGAGCGCATTACCGACGACCTGGACAGAATTCACATCCAGAGGGAGATCGAAATCACCTCTGCACTCAGACACCCCAACATCACACGCTTCCACGAAGGTAAGACTGCAAATATACAATTATGCACAATGTTGCAAAAAAGTGTAAACGATCATTTATAAAATGCTACATTTAATGAACGGATGAATGTGTTCCTATTTAAGTAATTTTACTCTCAACACATACAGATACATTTGAAATAGTTTTACAGCAATAAATGGGGATGAGGGGGGTGATATGGCAATATTCAAATCCCATTTTAAGAACAAAAACAACAACTTAATCCTGCTAAGTATTCTCTGTTTGTTTAAAGCCCTCTATAGCCTCCTGATTAGTGCCACAGACCTGTTTGAGTTTGTTTTTAATACTATATTAATCCTCAATAAGGAAATGAATTATCTGCATTTTTCCCATCGCACATATAAGCACACATGTGGATCAGAGGGATGCCTTCTAAGGTCCCCGGGGAGAAACTGGTGGGGGTTAAGGCCTTGCTCAAGGGCCCAAAGTGGGGTAAATGAAAGTGGAGGCAGATATGGGTGCGCACCTACGCCACAGAATTTTTTTGTGCTGGTCTGGCTCAACTTCTCTAACCTGTATGCCACCACTCTTCCATAAATTATCCAAATTACATCAAATACATTTCATCAAGGCAAAAATAGTGCAGTGCTCAGAGTATGTGTTGAGGATAATACCATTTAGTTCAGTATCAGTAAAACTGGCTGATTGATAGCTGTTTCTGTGTTTGTTAAGACCAGCTGGCTGTGACGACCATCTTGAAGTGAGTTGACTCCAAAAGTTAATCAGTAGATGGACACCAAATGGTTACTTTCTGAGAATTTTCTTAAAATCTGTCCTTAGGCCCATGAGAAATGTTGTTAATGCTCCAGACAAACATCCTAGACACAGACAAAAATACTCTGGCCTTTCCCCTTCAGCTGTGGGCAACTGGGAAATATTGCCCCCATTTTTAACTCTTCAAAACAGCTGATGACAGCAGCAAGTAAACAACGCAATCAGTTAATAGTCATTAATGTTACAACTTTAAAAATGTAATTTGTTCGTCATACATTAACTTTTTGTTGTTGTTGTTTTCAATAGTTTAAACGTGAGTCGTCCACTGAGTCTGTGACAATTTAAACGCATCAGAATAAAACTGGACCAAATTGTTCCTTGTGTTCTGTGTGGACAGTGTTTGAGAGCCGGGATAAGATTGTGATAGTGATGGAGTACGCCAGCAGAGGAGAGCTGTACGATTACATCCAGGAGAGGAAACGACTGCCAGAGCCAGAAGCCCGAAGCATCTTCAGACAGATTGCATCTGCCGTCCACTACTGCCACAAGGTGACTTGCTTCTGTTATTGAAACGTGCCACAGGATTTGAGCACAAACTGGGGCAGTGCATGTAGGCACGTGCTGAATGGTCAACTGAGCAAACACTTTCCTGCTAATTCCACTAAATCCTAATCATAATATTGTGGAGCGACTTGACTTCAGATTTCGGATCTCTCTGGGTTAAGATCATATTAGGCTTTGACTTGTTTGCAGTCACACACTCACATACCTGTACTTACCTGCCCCCCCTCATTGTTATTACTATATGCTTTGGCAAGGAAACAAATCCTTCTGTTTCCTTGTTTTGATTGTTGCTGTCCACAAAAGATTATAATCTGCACCAAAAATAAAGAAAGAAAGAAACGAAATTACTGAGGAAATGCACAAATCCTGGTAATTCACAATAACTGCAAGAGTTACAAGAGTTACACTTGATAGTCAGCTGAGCGAGATGTGACAAAAATGTTGTCCTTTGTTTGGTTTATTGGCAACACTTTACAATAAGGTGCACAAACTTTGATTAACTACTAGGGAACGCCATAGGAAAGAACCAGCAGCTAATGGATAGTTAACCAATACTTAATGGGGAACACAGCCTTATTAGGGGACTACTGGTTAGTTACCTTTTTTATCACTCAACCTTTATTTATACAGATAAATCACATTGGCCTCAAAAACTAACAAGTGATACCTTGTAAATGAAGAGGAACTAATCAAGAACTAATGGGCAGTTATCAAGGAAACCAAAGTGGAACAAATCAGGAGCTAAAGGGTAGTTAACCAGTACTTACTGGGGAACACACAGTCGAGCCTTATTAGGGGACTTCTGGTTTTGACCACAGAAACAGAGGAGAAATTTTCCATGTGGGTTGTTAATAAACCCTTCACCAGTGCAGTCACAGCTCGTAATTGTCAAAAACCTGTTTCCTAGTGATTACTGGTTTTATTGCATTTTCTCTTTTGTAAACTTGTTGATGAAAGACATTATCAATTTCATAATCTTGTACTGGTATCATTTTAACTATGTCTGACTATCACTTACTGAGTACCAAATTATTGCCTGGGTATTATTTTGTTCACTGATGTAGTGAAGCATCATACCAAGTACTTACTGAGGAATCAATCATTATTATACCTGACCCTTATGGGTTTGCTCCTGTGGTAACAAACCAGTAGTCCCCTAATAAAGCTTGGCTGTGTGTTCCCCAGTAAGTACTGGTACTGGTCAACTACCCATTAGCTCCTGATTCGTTTCTCTTTGGTTTCCTTGGTAACTACCCATTAGTTCTTCATTATTTCCTCTTCATTTACAAGGTAGCTAGTCCCCTAAGTTGTTACCTAGTAGTTAATCAAATTTGTGTACCTTATTGTAAAGTGTTACTGGTTTAGTTCATTAATTCCTCAAGTAAAACTCAAATTATCAGTCAGCTTTTGTAGTTAAAGGGAAGATGGAGGGGGGTTGTTCTCCTACTTCCCCCGAATGTTATCTTAAAATAGACATGAACGTTCTGGCATGAATGATTTATTGAAAGCACCACGGAGGAATGCAGGGAACATGGAGAGATTTTTTCAGTGTTTCGGGAGAAGAACTAGTCATTTGGATTTGCAGTACCGGTAAATGTAAAAAAGAATACAAATAGGAAAATGTGCTTATATTGTTTTGTTTGTCTTGCTCAGCCTGTATACAAATTTTAAGATGTCGTGGTTTAGCTGAAGAAGATGAAACAGTGAAAAAAGAAGATAAGCTTTAAATTTCTTTGCATCACTTTTTAGTTATCTATTGGGCTGTTTCCTTTGAGTTTTCTTATAAATTAAATCAGTCTTTGATTCATCAAATGGTTTTTCTTCTGCTGGGGCACTTCTTCCTGTGTTTATCAAAGTTCTGCAAACTCAGGACCTAATGTTGCTTTTTCCCCATTTTCTTACAGAATGGTGTTGTACACCGAGACCTCAAGCTCGAGAACATCCTTTTAGATCAAGATTTGAATGTGAAGGTGAGTCTGATGAATTTTCATGATATACTAACATAAAACCTAATCCTGCCTGTTTTATGAAAACAAATTACCGGTAGGTTTTCTTTTCAAAACATGCATTTATATATAGGCCAGATTTTTCAAATGTTTCCTGTTAAAAGTACTCATTGCAATGTCATGAAGATCTTTTATTTTAAGATCCTAAAGAAAGAAATACATTTTTCACTTTTCATTTTTCATAATGATAATGTCCTTAAATTAAAAATTTACAAGCAAAATCTGTGACTGGATGCCAGATACCACACTCTTTTTTTACCTACAGAAACAGCAGAAGTAACTAAAAATAGGTTAACAATGACAAAGTCCAAAAAAGAGCTGTTTGAGATTGAGAAGTCCCAAATTATTTACACTAAGATTTATTGAGTAAAGTATTAAAAAAAAGATGTTACTCTGAAACTTACTGGTTGAACAGAAGTTTTGCAAAACTTTTGTTTTGTGTGTTTAAATGTCAGACAGTCTTCATGGCTCTCCACTGTCCTGATTGATTCCCGACATTCCTTCTTGACAGTATTCTTGTTCTTTCTTTCTCTTATCTTTTCACATTTAGCAGCAGGTTCATTCTTATATTTCTACCTAAATATCTGCTCTGACATTCTATCCTTGTCCAATTCCACTATATTTGCTTACCTACACATACACAGACTGTCAGCCCAGTGTGGGTCAATAACATGACTCGTGCTTCCACGTGGTTCTCAGTGGATTCTGATGAGTGCCTTGTTTACCTTGAGTGTACACACGTTTCAGAATTGCATATCAATATGTCTGGAAAACATCTCTGGACAGGCAGACTTATAGGCAGTTTGCACAGCAAGCCATGCATGTGACCTCTCTCTCAATGTCTTGCACAATTTTAACCCTGGCAATTCTCCCACCCGTCAAGTGGGATAGAATGCTGATAAACAGATTCCAGCCATAATTTTGGGGTTTCTGTAAATGTCTGGGTGTGGTTTTCTCATCCTCAGCTTGAATTGAATTTGTCAGAGTGGTCTGGCACAGTTTCCTCCGAGGACACCTCCCAGTCACATACTTTGTTTACCAAGTCCATAGACCTGATTGTTATATCAATGACCTCCTCCCAGTATGGAAGGCAGGTGCACTGTCTTGATCAAAGACAAGCAGGTCTTCCGCCAGCAAATATGCTAACAGAGCTCTGCCTCTAGGGTTAATATCAGAGCTCCTCCAGTTCTCGTGATGGGTGGTGACAACGCAACCGATGAGTACTGGGAGGCCCCTAGCTTTAGCATAATCGAATATCACCATAAACTCCTGTGATGGAGATGACTGCTGTGAATCAACTGGGAGATAAGCGGAGGCTGCAATGACCAGTCTGTACTCGCCATTTGATTGAATATCCAATTGCACTGCTACAACATCACCTGTTGTTAGGTGGGGCAGTGCACTGTATCTCACACCTCTTGTCAGGGCTACTGCTGCTCTGGGTCTATGGCTGATCACATCATATAGAATTTTTCCTCCCAGGCCTCATACCATAGTCTTCACTATCCCAGACTCTTGGATGAAGGCTATGCCTGTATGCATCCTGCCAAGGCCAGTACATAGCAATGTATCTTTGCAGTGATATGCAAAGTACACGTTACCCTGTATTAATTCCATCATCCCCAACAGTCACAGAGAGACAAGATGGTGGCATTCACTGCTTGGCTTCACTTCACTTCACCGCTGATCTTAAAGGTCAGGTTCATTGTAGGGTCAGTTCCCCAGGCCCGCTAAAACTTCCAGAGAGTTACTGTCCACGCCACAATTTCACAATTTATAACAAGTACCTTTAAAGCTTTGCTGAGCTGAGAGTTAAACGCATTATGAGCTCCTACTTATCATCGTCATCAATAAATTTTAGGAGGCAGATGTTTTCCACTGCTTCTATGTTCAGTGCTAAAAATAAAAGCGCACTACTGGAGTGCTTTCTGCCCACAGAAATATTTTTATACCATTCACACTCAGCCTGGATAAACACAGTGAGTAGTCTTATAAAGTAACCCCCATGAGCCCCCCACCCCGCCCCTTTGTTATTGCCTGATGTGGATGGTACTGTCCTTATATGGGAGCTGAGCATGGCCAAAAGGGAATGCAGTGAATTCTGCAGCTATTCTGGCTCACTGTTCAGAAAAATAACAATAATAAAGACACCAGGTCTTCATTCAGAACATTCTTAATAACCACAAATTCACAGAACTGGCATTTCACAACATGCGAAGCAGGAAAGACAAAGGCTCTGTTTAAAGCATGTTTGTGTTATGTCTGCACAGTAGTTGCATTGTAGCATGCACAAGAAAACAGAAAAATCAAAAAATGTTTTGTGAATCCTCATGCGTCTTAGCACACTAGTATTTTTGAATGTAAAATATGCACGATTTACACACTAAAAACTGCTGGGTTACAAACAACTAGCTTATCAGTTTGACCCAACAGGAAAATTCAGTTCGAAAAACTAAATTATTGAATCTGAGCTACTAATAAGCTGAGTTAAGAAAATTTACGTTGCAGATATAACTTGGGGTGATATTAGCTATAGGTGGATCCAACTTGGAATAAAAATAAAATGTGCACAAATTCAGTTATATAGACATTGTTCTCTAATTCAGTACGTTACTGAAATTTACGGAATGGTTGTCCCAATTAAAATAGTCTGTTAATGACCATATCTCAGGGGTCAAAGTGTTAAAAAGTCTCTCAGAATGTTGTTTGACTCAAAGCCACGTGGACCTGAAAATGCTCCCATGTATGGCTGCGGGGGAAAAGCACTCCATAAAGTTCTGTACTAAATGTCTTGGCTCACCACTTTTCTTTTGAACAGCCAGACTTCAATTTTTGTATTATTATTATTTTACTCCGTGCTTGAGCAGCAGTGATCCAGGAAATCTGGAGGTCTTTCAGAGTTTTCTTTTGGATGATAGCTTTATCTGCTGTTTACTTGTTTCAGTGTGAGACTGTGTCTTACAGCAGCTTTCATTAAAGGGATAGTTGCTGCCAAGTCACAGATGAGGCAACATAAACCACGCAAACAACACGTACACAAACATACAGTGACATGTGTTCGTTCCACACATTGTTATTGTTATTGCCTTTGAATTAATGATACCTCAGACCTGGCTGCTGTTCACAGGGTCATCAGCTGTAAGTAGGTCTCTACTGTGTGCTTCTGGAAATAAAACTGTCATGTTGAATGTTTTTAACACCAGAAGTTATGACTAGTGTGTGTGTTCATAATCTCTTTAGATAGTGGTGTGTGTGTGGCTCCTCACAGCCTTGAGTGAGTGATTGTTCCATTGCGTAAGCGTGTTCAGCTCCATGTTGTTGGCTCCTCTCTTTCCTCACTTACACTGGCAAAAGCTCAACATACTGTATCTATTTTTGGATTATTAAAAAAAAATGTGTTGAGTCCTCGTGCTTTCACAGCATGATTCCATGTTGACTGCACACACTTGCAGCGTTTTTTTGTTTTGTTTTGTTTTTTAGGATTTCACAATATTTAAGCATTTTGTGCTGAACACAGGCAGAATGAATATACAGCATCTCAATATCTTTGTTTTTGTGGAGTTAATAAAGGCTTCTACGTTTTAAAAACAATCTTCTTCACGTCACACAAACATTTGAATGCACATACACACACATTTTGAAATCAACATTTGCTGCGGCAGGCCTCAGAGTCCCATTTGAAGTGTTTCCTCCTGATGTCGGGGTTGCTGTGTCACATTTACTTCCAACTTTATATCCAGTAATTTATCAAATGTTTAACTCAACTCAACTAGTTTATGAACAGAAGGAATGCAAACTATCGTACTAAACGTTTGTTAATTTCTCTTCCTCTGCAGCTGGCTGACTTTGGCCTTTCCAATAATTTCCAGAAGGGCTCCTTGCTGCAGACCTACTGTGGAAGTCCTCTTTATGCCTCCCCAGAGATCGTGAAGGGGCTGCCGTACCGAGGACCAGAAGTGAGTCTGACTCAAAAAATAAAATAAAATAAAATTAAAATAAACTGTTGAATTGTTGATTTTAGGCTCCTTTATGCAATGTTTTCTGAGTAAATGATCATGTTTAATGTAAAAGTAGCATTCTTTGAAAGAATACATATTTGACACATTTCAAACTTTAAACTACGATTATTTCATATTAGGAAAACATTGAAGCTATTTTGGTTTTCATGCAGTAATGTGTCAGATTAAACAGTATGTTGTGAATGACTCTGAGCTACTACCACATCAAATCTTAGCACAATATCTGTAAATTGACTGAATTATAGCCATTTTTGTGGCATTCTGTTCAAACATCTGCTGGCTGTGGTGGTCATCTTGAATTGTGTTGTCTCCAAAAGTTAATCAGTAGTCGATGTATGTCCAGTGATCATGTTCAGAGATTTTCACTCAAATTCATCCAGTGGTTCATAAGATATTTTGCTAACAGACAGATACCATTAACTTTAAACTATTTGTTATAAAATTTCAAATAATGACCTTACACAATATGTTAGCACGCTGAATATGTGTTTGAGATCAGGCTCAGATTCAAACAAACCAAGTTTTATGTCGGTATCTACAAACTTGATAGAGGTATGGCAATTTATGTGTTTTTAAGGTTAATTGGCAATGGCAGCCATCTTGGGTTAGGTTGGCTCAAAATGTTAATCAGTCATAGATGTCCATCTAATAATTATGTTCTCCAAGTTTAATTTATATTTGTCCAGTTCTTCACAAGTTTTTTTTTTGTAGCACACACAAATATACAGACAAAAAACATTACAGTCTAGCGTTGCCATAAACACCTGATAATAAAACTGATGGAGGATTTTTTTTACCATCTAGATGAAGATGATGGTTAAACAAACAATTCAACTATAAATCAAACCAAAGAATAGCACAACACTCTTGTTAAGTCAATAATTATATTTGCCATTTCACTCTACATTATGAATTTTACTAAAGTAAAGGGGTAAAGTTGACTCTCCATGTGTGTTAGTAACATTATTAAAGTTTTATAAAACTCTGTGTTTGATTGTTGTGTTAGGTGGACTGCTGGGCTCTGGGGGTCCTGCTCTTCGCGCTGGTTTACAGCAGCATGCCGTTTGATGGGGCCAATCATGCTAAGCTTACTGAGCAGATCAGCCAGGGCCACTATCATAGACCCAACCCCCCCTCAGGTAAACCTTTACAGTGTCCATCATAGCTCTTTGTACAAGTATTGGATGTTGTTTATTGGTGTGTTAACTGCATTGTAGTTACTTAAGCTGCTATAAATATAACAGTTCACTGTGTTCCCTCCAGACGCCTGTGCTCTCATTGACTGGTTGTTGACAGTGCGTACAGATGAGAGGGCCACGATAGAGGACGTGGCCAACCACTGGTGGGTAAATTGGGGTTATGAAGAGAGCGTGTGTGACTGCTCTTCATCGCCTCACCAAGACTGTCCTTCACCCCTGCTGGCTCGCTACATCGACTGGCAGAATCGGGCCGGAGCTGCTGCCAACATGACTGTCGACCCAGAGACCTTAGACTTCTCTTGTTCTGGCGCTTTTTACTTCAGCATGCCTCTAAAGAGTGACTGTGGAGGAGTAGGAAGAACGCGTGGAGGAATTTCAAACCTCAGAAAGTCTCGAAAAGAGAATGTAATCCCCCAGAATTCCCTGGGAGCTTGTGGTGGTGTTTGTTCAACAGCTGTGTCTTCGACTTCCACCGGTGAAAGAAGAAGACCTAAAGGCATACTCAAACACCAGAGGAGCTTAGATTCTGTCTTTCACAACCCAAAGAAGGAGAACTCTTCCTCTCAGCAGTGTAGCGCACTTCCTCAAACTCACCAGACACAAACACTTCCTCACGCACACACAAATAACTTGTCCAAAAGCCTTCCACACCCATCTGCATTCAGTCAGCCTTCATCTAAAATGCCAAAGAAAGGAATACTGAAGAACTTGTATGTTGGGGAGACGGGTTATAGCTCCAAAGGAAAGTGCTCTGATGTGGGAGTCAAAGATAGTGATTTAGGTCATTCAGGCTCCTACAAACAGCACACGTCTTTCCCAGCTGCAGAAGATAGTCCCACCATGCGCACAGAAGCAGTGAGGAGACGCAAAGGTATTCTTAAACGTAACGGCAAGTTCTCCCGCAGTCTGGATCTTCCCGATAGCCCCAACCCATCGCCCTGTCCAGCCCTTGCAATGTTCCCAGAGGCTTTGCAGCAGCTCCTACAGGCCACATCGAACACAGAGGGCCGCCGCAGCCGCCCTTCCAGCGTGGTCAGTGAGGATAGCCTCTTCTCCTCTGATTCATTTGACCTGCTGGATCTCAGCATCCAGTCGCAGCAAAAGATTTTCTCCCAGGAGATACAGCACAACGTGTGCAGCTCTGAGGAGAACCTGGAGCAGACAAGGACGGAGACAATCAGGGCTGGTGAAAACAAAAATGGACAGAAAGAAATGAATAGGTAGAGGAATTACAAACACGTGACTGTGGCAAAAATGGTTTTCAGTACAATGTTTTAGTTCACGTGGTTTACCAATTTTAAAATATAGTACTTTAAGCTTTGGGAAAGTTGCATCTCAAGTCCACTAACTCTCCTGAGTGTTGCACTATCAATACAAGGCACCATATTCTTTTTTTAAATTTTATTATTATTTTTATCAAGGTCTTTTTATTAACTTTTAGGGATTTTTTTAAACAAACACAACAGACCAGAGAACAAAAGAAAAAAAAACTGTAAATAAAACCCTCCTGTCCCTCCCCACCCACACCAGATCAGCTAGACATATGTCTTTACAGGAATCAATATATTTTCAACAAATGATATAAAAGACCTCCAGGTGTCCCAGAATCTTTCCACAGAAACCTTTAGGGTGCATCTAAGTTTTTCCAAATGGATATGGTACATCACCTCTCTTATCCAATGTACATATGCTGGGGTCCTTCCAATTGCACAAAATGAGCCTCCTGGCCAGAAGAGAGCCAGAGGCAATCACATCCTTCTCCCATTTGCTGAAGGACATATCCACAAGGATCACCACAAACAGTGAGATGAATGGTGATGGGTGTACAGTTTGTAGATTGCCAAAAAGTCTGCAGTTTGGGACAGGTCCAGAATGTATGCAAGAGTGTAGCTGGAGTTTGTTTGCAATGATTGCATGCGGGGTCCAGGTCAGTCTTGATCTTGGACAACTTGTCTTTGGACCAGTGCAACCTGTGCACCACCTTGAATTGAATTACAGCACGTCTCAGGCAGATTCAAGATGAGTACATTTTCTTAATGATCCTTCTCCAGATTGAGTCTGATATGGGGAAAAAGCACAAAGCACCATATTAAATACATTTGCTTGTATTGGATGATAAATTAAATTCAAGCTTTAGAGCCAAATCAAATTGAGAGATAAGTGAAACCTAAAGGGTTTCTGCTACCTGCCAGCATGACTGCACATTCTGTTGTATGAATTCAATTTGACCTCACCTGTAGCTCATATTCTATTAAAATATGTGGGATCACATAAATCATGACCAAAACAGATTGTATTTCATTAGCTTTCAGAATTCTTCACACATACAAAAATCCCTAAATGCCATATTTCTATCATATTTTTCCTCACTGCTCAGCACTTTTTAAAAATCCTGCTCAAATGTATGCTGTGTGTTTAACAACTAAACTAGACTGTTGGAATATTTAATGGCAACAAATATGAATGTTTTGAAAGCATCATACAGATGTTATTTCAGTGGTTGCTAGCACACTTGTAAGCAGGTATAAAGACACTTTGTTGTCCTGTGAAGAAATTTGTTATTAAAATATGTCTAATAGGCTTTTTTTTTGTCTATTATTTTTGATCTGTTATTCATTTTTGTGCTATTTTGCTTATAACATACAGTATTGCTTTTTACAGCATTGGCTTATTTTGTCCATAAGTTCCATAATGAGAAGATCTGTGCAAAGTTGCCACGTTTATACTTCACTTTTTAACGTTAAATAGGAAGCTGAAGTTTCAAGTTTTGTTTTTACCTACAGTGTTTTTTTATGTGCAGTCTGCTCTTTTGCACCACCATTCAGCGTGAATATTAGATTTACTGCATTGCTTTTTGCTGTGACAACACCTGTGCTGCTGTGGAAGTTTAAGGTGATGCGTGCAGAAGATATTGTTATTTTATTATGTAATTTTCTGACTCTTAAAAAGACGGTTATTTGAGTTTGCCTATTTTGTACATTTTCTTCTTGTTGGATAATGAATAATAATAAATTATTTCAATCTCACACTATGTGTAATAGATTTATTTTTTACTGGTCAGAGAATAAACAAGTATATTAGCAGGGGAAACGAGTATATTAACCTATCAAGAGTGTGAAAACACAACACTGAATGAGGACTTTTTCTGTTTAAATGACTTAACAGATAGCAGCTTTTTGTTTTAAATGTGACGTCGTGTAGCATGACGCAAAGCAGTGATGTCATCCACTTCTAACTTTGTAGTTTTTTACAGACTTAATTCCATTTACAACAGATTTTTCTTTTTTATTATTTGTTAATGCCCTTCAATAAAATGTGTTTATAATATAAAAGGACAGAAAATACTTTTAGCAAAACATTTAATAGTCTTAGCTTGCTTCAAGTCGTTCATGCTTGGGTACTCGCAGGTAATAACCATCAGTATCACGTGTACATTATGTATTAATTTATTACGTGTTAAGACACAACCACAGCTGGATGTTGAGAAGGCATTTTAGATCATGGTATAATGACAACCCACTCCAAAGGAAGGTGCCAGTATTTTACATTAAATCTGAAATCCCAGATTCTATCAACATATATTAATTTAGCAAACAATTTATGTATTTATTCTATGGTTGATCTAAAATTTCTTAATCTTCTGTATCCATTTGTCTCATAATTTCCACATAGTGTTTAAAAAAAGATGATTCAAGCTTGCTGAGGCCACAAGCTGAAACATTTAGACGTATTATTAATGCCGTTCAGACTTTAGTCTTCTTTAACAAGTCGCCAACTCCTAAAAACATTGCTCTTTTTTTCTCTCCTCTAAATATAGCTTTAAAGTGAAATATTGTTTAAATTGCTGAAACGATCATAACTCAAATTGAACATTTAATAAAGGTTTTAACTTGGTCCTCCCCCTAGAACTTTGTGAAATACTTTTTTTTTTTGCTCAAACATCTCAAACAATTAATTCAAAATTGCTCTTCAACAATAGTAGTAGCATAAAATAAATTCTAACGTTTACATTAAATCACCTCCAAATTAATCATTTCAGGCTCATTCAGTTTATCAATAAATATTCTCCTGTGTTGACAAGTTAGTTACACTGAACAAAGATCTGCTTCCGGTCTTCAGAGGAGAATAAATGAAGGGCTATACGGTAGCTCGGTGGTCAGTGTCGTGGTCTTGTAATCCTGAGGCAACTGGTTTGAGCCCAGGTTTAATCACTAAGGGCATCCGTTGTAAAACACTTGTCAAATCTTTCATGCGAGTTTGCTCATTGTGGCAACTCCTGATAAAGCGAGCAGCCAAAACAAAACTTACTGAAGGAGAATAAATGCAGGGGCTCATAAATGTAAAGTATTAAAGGAGTTCACTCCTTTAAGCAGCACAAATTATAGACCAAGGAGTTTAAAGAGGCTGGAGTATTTCAAACATCTACTGTGATTATTCATACTTACCAAGTTAAGTCTTGTAGGCTGAGAGGGTTTTTCTTTGTTTTGCCTCACGTGTGGATTTAAGTACAAATGAGTGAACGCAACAGAAGGTATTAGGCTCATTAATGGAGCTTAGAGACGGGAAACAGTGGCTTTACAAAGCATTTGTTACACTCATCCTGTAGATTGGATTAATACAATTGTTTGCACTGCATATGTCTAAATACAGTCAAAGACAACAACAACAACAACAACAGAGCTCTATTTAAGGTATTCTCTTCCAAAGTTACAGATGAGTTTGCAATAAAATGTGTGCAGTCAGCACTTTTCATTCATTCCATGCCGGAATTCTGTGCTGCAGTGAATTTAAACAAATTAGGAGTATTAGACAAAAAAAAAAAAAAAAAAAATTTGGATTAATTAAAATTGAGAAAAAAAAAATAGACAAAAAAGGAGTAGATAGAAGACAGATTTAAAGTGGTTTATCAGATTAGATTGTTTTGGACTGCCTGTAACAGATTGGGCTTTCTAAAAATACATGTATCTATTTTGTCAATGCAGGTTCAAAAGTTAATTTTCTTACAACTGTGTGTATTTGTGTTGTTCGTTTGCTCAACATTTTAATTCCACAGGAACATTTTTAACATTAATCATCAAATATTCACAGGCTAACTTTGGTTTTTATAAGTATTCATGTAGGTCACTTATATTATTGCTAAATTTACAATCCAAACACAAAATAGGTGGCAGATGACCTTAAATTACTCAGTTAATCTTGTTCTGCATGAAGTGCAATTATTTGGGTAAATCACGAAAGACAAAGTACCTGAACAACAGTGTCATCTTGTGGTTGTCAGATGTGGTTGATTAAAACTATTCCATGTTGTTTTTAACCTCAATAAAATATTATTCTTTCAGTGTTTTACAACAACAAAGTAGGTCCTATAAAGCTGTATTTTTTCTATATAATTTTACACAAATCACAATGTTTGTATGTGTTTTTCATTAAAATGTAGAGTTTGACAGTTCATGTGGCAGAAAAATATAAATAAAATATAAATAAAATATATAATATATAATAATATAATATACGGGGTGGAGAAAACAGTCTATAAATGTGAGAAAAGAGTTGACACACGTCAGAATTGTATTGTACGGGGCCCCTTGATGTCAGATAATATATATATATATATATATATATATCTTGTTTACTA